CTCCCTCCCTCCTTCCCTCTCTCTCTCTCTCTCTCTCTCTCTCTCTCTCTCTCTTTATTTATTTATTTAGTCATAGAGTGCACTTGCTGGAGAGAGAAGCAAAGTGTGAATTCACCTCCCAGGAAGAGAGCTTTCTCCTCCATTTTTCTCTCAGGATTTAGGAGAATGCAGGCAGATGTGCCTGGTATGATTTTCAGGCTGCCAGGCCTGGGACTTGAACCATGATGTTGGCCATGAGGGATCCAGCACCTTAACCATCACACCATCTGCTGGCCCATCAACTAGTTTCTGTTTTGTTTTTCTGCACTGTTGGCGCTTAGCAATTCAGCTTTTTTTAATACGCTAACTCTCCTGATTTAGGCCTCTTAAAGACTGCTGTCATCTCACTCCCAGTCTCTTTGCCTTTAAGGTTTTATGCCTTTTCAGAGATCTTTATCACCACTGTAGAGGGATCTTGGTGGCAGAGAGGGAAAAAGGTAGAGAGAGATAAATACATATTTTCAGTAATCTCCTAATGGTTTTTCCAAGTGCACTCATTATTTTCACTGCTTATCATCCACTTTCTATGATCTGTCTTCTCTGAAATTGGTTTCTCTCTTTTTAAAAAATAATGATTTATGGGGCCAGCCGGTGGCGTGGTGGTTAAGGGCACTGGATTCGCACATGGCCGACTGTGGTTTGAGTCTGCTTCTGGAGGCTTGCTTTCTCCCCCTTCTCTCTCTCTCTGTCTCTCTCTGGTCAAATTTAAAAATAACAACAACAACAACAAATGGAATTAAATAATTCTTTAAAAAAATAATGATTTATTTATTATTATTATTTAATTTGCTACAGTCACCAGAGACAGACAGAGGGAGTAAGAAAGCAATCCACCAGATCTGGGACTTGAATCATGGTTAGCCATGTGGGAGTCCAGCACCTTAAACACCGCACCACCTGCTGACTACCCCTACTTACTCTTCGTAAACTGCCAAAAGGCACATGCACTCCTCTGAGAGAAAAAGCAAGGAGAGGGGAAAAAGCGCCTCCCAATAAAATGTAGTCAAGTTATAATCCTCCTCCACCACTTCTCCAATCGGTTAGGATGTTGGGCGTGCACATGCACATGCATGCATGCACATGCACACACACGTATGCCTGGGGTTTTTTAAGTTGCCAGGGCTGGGATTTGAACCTCACAGTTGGCTATGTAAGATCTGGCTCCTTTAACCACTGGGCTACAGGCTGGCCCCATTTCCTCTTAGTCACTCACTATATTCTTTAGTCACTTTCAGTGAGCCCTCTTTATCAGTATGTCATCTAAATGTTGGGTCTTCAGGAAAGTTGTGATGCATTTTCGCATAGAAAAAAACATCATGACTTTTCTGATGACCTAATATATCTATTTTCAGCATGCAGTTCTTTGCCTTCTTTTCCCCTCTCTCTACATTCCCTCATGCAGTCTCAGCACTGGAACAATGAATAGAAATAAAACTTCACTTCAAAGGCTGACAACTGGAGTTACAGAAATTACTTTCCATATGTTTAAAATGCTACACCTCCGACCATACCATTTACACTGTTTTGTTCATGATCCAGGCCTTCTACTCCTATGATTCTTTACACCCCCTCTGTAATCCTTGCAGCTCTCAGTCTCAGCGTCCAGCAGTCTCAACCTGGGCTACTAGCCCCCACTTGCGTCTTACTTCCCCACCCAGTCTTGGATTCTTCCACACACATCTACAGCTCTGTCCTTGTCTAGCTGCTGCTTCAATGCTCCACAGCTTTTTGTGTGGATATGCCTAAAGCCTAATTTTTTTTTCTGCCTAAACATGAACCTTCCCATTTTTCTTATCTTGGTTTATGTCATACCCCTATGTATCAGTCATAAAAACTAGAAATCTAGTAGTGATCTGCAGGTTTTACAGTCCAGCGTACAAGGTGAGCACGTGGGCTTCTCTGGCTGCTCCATAAGCAGCTCCCTTGCAGCACCACGTCTCCGTAGCCCGCCCCCTCTCCCAGAGTGCAGCATCTTGCACAATGGAGGTATCCTATGCATATTTGCTGAAGCTTTTTGCAACTGAAGCAATAAAAACATACCTTGGGTTTTCTTAGGTTGTAGTATCCTTTATTCGTTACCTGAACTTTCCAGCTGAAAAACAGAAGTAAAAAAAAAAAATTAGTAGTTTTTACCCAAAACAAACAAACAAACATACTCTGGATATCAGATAAATGAGATTTTCTATTAAAACAGCATTTGAAAAAGTGACCATATCTAAATGAACATGCAAATTTTGGGATTAGTACTTCGCATTAATTTTGGAATTTTGCTATTATAACAAAAAAACCACCAGTATCTATGTAAAAGTGTAACACAGACTTCTACATTTAAATTACATTTAGTTTTATATTCACAAACCAAGCAATATTCCCACAGCTCAAGAAATCTAATTTTTGGGGAAGTGTAACTTACCGATCTAGTTTAATTCCGTCTGCGTCCATTACATTTCTTAAGACTTGTGTGACAGGGATCTCTCCAGCATAACCTGTACCCCAACCCAGTGTATTGGACAGATCGTTGCCTGTTCCCAGAGGCAAGACTGCAACCTGTGGAATGTATTTTTCTTGTCCCTAGAATACGGAAGACATATTTCAGATTTTTCTCTTCTATTGTACTTGCAGGGTAATAATAATTTACAAAATTTGAAAACCAAAGAAATAAAGTACAAATATAACAACTGTTGGCTGTGCTGTTTTTATTTATTTGTTTAAAGAATTGCTTATTTAGGGACCAGCAGATGGCACAATGGCTACGTTGTTGAATTCCCATGTAGTCTACCAGTTTGAGTCCCAGGCCCCAGTGGTTTAAGCTCACACTGGGCACGTGCGTGTGCATGCCCAAGATCCCAAGAGAATGGAGAAGAGATTGCGGTGTGGTCACCCCCCCCCGGGGGGGCGGATTTCTCGCTGTCTATCTCTCTGTCTCTCTCTGTCTTTCTGGTGAGCACATATGCCCTATAGCAAAAACCTCTCAAAAAATTATAGCAAAAATCTCTCAAAAATTATTTTATTTAACTTTATTTATTTATTTTTATTTTAATTTGACCAGAGAGAAAGGGGGAGAGAGTGAGAGGGGGGGAGGGGAGGGAGAGAGAGAGAGAGAGAGAGAGAAAGTGAGAAAGCAAGCTGTCAGGTCTGGGACTCAAACTGCAGTTGGCCATGCGGGAGTCCCGCATCCTTAACCAGCATGCCACCTGCTGGTCCCACAACTGTTGGCTGTGCTGTTTAATCATAATAGTCCATTCTTAGCTACTCAAAATTGGCAATGTCTTCTAATAGTCACCTGCATAATAATAATAATAATACCCTCCCCCTATATTGTATATTTATTTTATAAGTGCTTCTATACTGGGACCAGCAGTTGACATAATGGCTATGTCGCTGGACCTCCATGTAGTCAACCGCGGTTCGAGTCCCGGACCCGGTGGCTTAAACTCATGCTGGACATGTGTGCGTGTGCGTGTACCCAAGATTCAGAGAGGAGAATGGAGAAGGGATTGAGGTGGGGCCTTCCCCCCCGGGGGTGATTTCTTGCTTTCTGTCTCTCTGGCAAGTGCATGCGCCCAATAGCAAAAACATCTAGAAAAAGAAATGCTTTTACAGTAGTTCCGAAAGACTGATACCTTAATCTTCATTTCATCAACTGCATCCAGGACCCAGCCCACAGTCCCATCCCCTCCACAAACAAGTACTCGAGCTGAATGATAGGGAAGAAGAGTACAAAGTTGTAGGGCTTTGACAGGGGGAGTTTTAGTTACATCAAACACCTAGAAATGAAAGACAAAGAAAAAAATTATTTTTATCCAATGTTATCCTTTGTCTGTGAGGATGATTCCCTTCTAGAGGAGTAGAGATATGATTAAATAACAATACTGGCTACTACATATTTACCTTTCATAATATTCCAGGTACTGTGTCAGACTTTTTGCACTGTAGGTTCATACCCATCTGACCCTACAAAGCAGGCATTAGCTTCATTCAACTGACCAGGAAACTGAGGCATACATAGGAAGATTAAATTACCTGCCTGTGATTCTCCAGATGATTAAATGCTGAAATACAAATTCAAACTTAAAGTCTACCCATCACATTACACTCTCCTTCCAAGTCACATGAAACCACAATGTGCAAAGTTCACCTTTAACCAGTGTTTCACATTTAGGTTTATTTTTTTAACTTATATTAAATTTTTTTTTTTTTTTGTCCTTTAACTGCCAGAGGGTGCATGTGCTCACTAGAGACAGAGAGAAAGAAAATGAGAGAGAAAGAATGAGAGAGAGAGAGAAAGAGAGACAAAGCATCCTTCAGTGGGGTATGGCCAAGCCATAATCCTTTTTCTTTCATTTCTCCATCTCGTCAGGATTTGGGGCATGCCTGCAAACATGCCTGGAGTATTTTTTAAACCTATGGAGTAGGATTCAAACCACAGTTGGCCATACATGATCTGTTTTCTATGTACTGCACTGACTGCATCACTGTGCTATGGGGCTGGCCCTATACAATGTTTTTTTAAAAAAATCACCACTAGTCCACGTTGGTACAAATTTCCAGAAAGTATTTCAATATATACAAAATGACACAAAAATGAAAGGCCCATTTACAATCCATAAATGATCCTAGGGAAATATTTCAAAAGAAGAAAAGGCCCTATATAAATGTTCACTGTGGTGTTATTTATAATAGTAGGACTGCAAACAGCAGGAGACTGGATAAATGATGACATCTCCTCTCAATCACTGAGACACTGAGTATGCAGTTATGAGGACTATGCCGCAACAGGAGAAAGTATACTATGAAATAAAAAAACCCTCGAATTTGAATTTGTATCTAGATCACTGTTAGAGCATTGTTAATATGCAACTGTGCAGAAAAATGAAAAGAACGTGGTCACACAAAAATAACTGATGTATTTACATGAGGAAATTGCAGGTGACTTTCTTCTCATTATTTTTACAATTTCCTTAGGCTGTGCAATATTAAAAGTGTAAGAAATACAAATCACAAGGAAGAAGTTATTGCATTTTTTTTTTTTTGGAGAGGTTTTTGTTACAGGGCGCGTGTGCTCGCCAGACAGAGAGACAGAAATCACCCCCCAGGGGGGATGGTCACAACGCAATCCCTTCTCTTCCACTCTCCTCTCGGGCCTGGACACGCACGCACATGCGCCCAGTGTGAGTTTTAAGCCACCAGGTCCGAAATGCAAACTGCAGTCGACTACGTGGGAGTCCAGCAACATAGCCATTACGCTAACTGCTGGTCCCAAGAAGTTACTGCATTTTTGAGCGTTGTACATTTGGATTGCTTAGTTTTCAAATGCTGACAGATACTCTCGATGAACTTTTTTCTCATTTTTACAACTGAGGTTATAATATACATATAATAAAATTCACCTGTTCAAAGTGACCAAGTCAATAATTTTTAGCAAGTTTACTGGGTTGGGCAACCACCACCACAATCCAGTTTAGAATATTTTTGTTGCTTCAATAAGATCCCTAAATGCCCATTTGTAGTCACTCCCCATTTGCAGGTCCAGACTTAGGCAATCACTAGTCGACTTCTCTGTCTCTGTACATCTGTCTTTACTGGACAGGTCATCTAAATGGAACCATACAGTATGTGGTCCCGTGTCTGACTTCTTTAACTTAGCATACTGTTTCTGAAGTTCTTAGGTATGTATCGGGAGTTTCTTCCTTTTTTCCCACCAAATAGCATTCCATTGCATGGGCACATCTTGCAGTGCTTATCACTCAGCCATGACAGTTACGCTGCTTCCACTTTCTGGCAATTATAAATAAGTAATACTGCTACAACAGTCACATGCAAGTCTTTGCACATATATTTTCATTTTCCTTGGGCAGAATCTTAGCAGTGGGATTGCTAAGCTGATGTGACGACATTTATGTTTAACTTGAACAGAAACTGCCAAACTATTTTCTAACACAGCAGTACCAGTTTACATTCCTACGAGGGTTACCGTTTAGCCATATATTTGAATGTCTTGATCCTTTTGTAGACTCTTTCCAATAGGCAGGTGATTAGAGACTTAAAGCATGAAGAATCACTGCATTTTAGGGAAAAAGGTAAAGCTAAAAATAAAAGCTAAATAAAGAAAGCAGGTGTTCTCTTTAGTTACCTGGACTGGATTTAATAGGATCCTAAATTCTCCCAAGAGTCCTTCTCCCATGTTAGTTCCACTGCGAGAGTTGGCCAGGATTATCAATGGAGTCCACTGAGTTCCAAGCTTAGAGGCTAGCTAAAAAAATTAACACGAGTGGAAAAGGTTTAATATCTCAGAGGTAGTGAACTCATTTTTCATTCCTAGATAACAATGGTGCTACAATTTACTGGGGGGAAAATACACCTAGAGCAAGTACTACCAATACAATATAAAAACAGAAGAATTCTGAGAATGAAAAGGAGCTACAGAAATGAAATAATTTAACCTTCCACCCAATATATAGTTCTCTTCCATCTTTTTTTTTGGAGAGGTTTTTCACTATAGGGCGTGTGCGCTTGCCAGACAGAGAGACAGAAAGCGAGAAATCACCCCCCAGGGGGGATGGTCATGCCGCAATCCCTTCTTTTCCATTCTCCTCTCGGGATCTTGGGCACGCATGCACACGCGCCCAGCGTGAGTTTAAGCCACCGGGTCCAGGACTCGAACTGCGGTCGACTGTGGGAGTCCAGCGACATAGCCATTACGCTAACTGCTGGTCTCGGTTCTCTTCCATCTTATTCTAGATTAGTAATCTAGCACATGCTTGGATGGTTATACAACGTCTTTTCATGAGAGGCAACCCATTCCATTACTAAATCAACTTATCAGCAAGATTTGACTTAAGTTGAAAATCTTTCAATAACTTTCATTCGTTGCTCTAATTCTGCTTGTTAAAGTAAGGAGAAGTCATTTATTTTCATGTGACTACTGTGCTCAAACATAGGATCTTTATCAGTCTTTTCTCCTAGCCAGTACAAGCTCTTTTAACTATTCACACAGAGTGGACATTAATTCATCTCAGATTTTTTCACCTTGATTTTCCTTTTCTGGATTTATTTAAATGTATTTTAGTTTGTATGTTTTTATTTATTTCTTTTTATTAAAAAAAATTTTTAAAAGAGGTTTTTTGCCTTAGGGCACATATGTTCCCAGAGACAGAGTGAGAGTGAAAGTGAGAAATCATCCCCTGGGGTGGTGGCCACGACACAATCCTTCTCCTCTATTCCTCTCCTGGGATCTTGGGCATGCTTGCACACGTGCTCAGCCAGATTTTCAAGCCACTGAGTTTGTGACCTTTCTTTCCTCTTCCCCTCTCCTTTTAGATGTTAACTACCAATGAGGCCATTGTGTAATCTTAATGATTCTCATTTCTTATACTCTCAGATTGAATTCAGAAAAAAAAAAAAAAAGAGTTGTACATTTAAAATATAGGTACACAAAAATATTAATGTTTAAACATTTAAAAATGCCCCTTCCTTGCAAGAGTATTGACAAAGGTGACATTCAGGATATAAAATCTTAACTAGAAAAAGTTTTAAATGAAATAGTTCAATTATTTTGTTATATTTGAGTAGGAAATAAATTTGTAAATTTTTATAATTATAAAATAAGAGCTACACAAAGAAAGATATATTTGGGTCCAGCAGTTGGCATAGTGGTTAAGGTGATGGACACTCCCACAGGCCAACCAGGTTCAAGACCTGGACCTAGTGACGTGCTTTCTCACTTTCTCTCTCTCTCTGTGTTGGTCTCTGGTCAAATTAAAAACAAAAACAAAAATAAAACGAATGAATAAATAAAATAAAATAAAAAATTCTTTAAAAAAGAGAAAGATATATTTACACTGATTTCCAGACATATACAAAGAGACTACAAACTACTGTCAACAGCTTTAATATTCAACATTATTTGAGGGAGCACCATGTTTACAATGTCAACTTATCTTTAGGGATTCTGTGTAAAGTTCCAAACAGAAAGCCTGTTTTAAAAAATGGTGTAAGGAAAACCTACATTTTTTTTTTCCTTTGACAATAACCATAAATCCCAAACCTAACTGTTCATAAGAATCATCCAAGGACCTTGAAAGTATAGGGATTCCTGAGATCTACCCTATACCTACTAAGTCAAATGGGTGAACTTAGGGATCTGCATTTTTAAAAAGCTCCCCAAGTGATTCAGATGCCAGCAGTGATTTAGAAATCACTAATGTAACGTTTCCAGTTTCCCTCAGGAAAGAACTCGGGAGTCAAAATTTGCGACAGGTCTCCAGGAATTGGGTAGGGTTTTACGGCTTACTGTAATGTCGCTCTATTTTCCCCTTCATCTTGAGCTTTGTTTTATTCCCGACCTGACTCTTACCTACAGTCTTAACTGTTTCATGCACTGACCTAGATAAACTTTTTAGAAATCAATTATATAATAAACTCTAATTACCCCTTCATAATCTGTTTTTTTGTCTTTACGCATCTGATTAATGGAGGTTAAATAACTTGGTGGGATGATGAGGTTTTTGAATTCTCCAAAATCACACTTTTCACTCTTTAAGCTATTTTTCATGCATTCATCATGTACGGTCTTCTGACACCAAATGCACCTGACAAGGAAGAAACAAAAGCAATTACTTATTTTAAACCACAAACTTACTGATTCACACACCAGTCAGCTTTTGTTAAAAAAGGCAAACAGTATTTTTGTCATGACCGAGCATAAGAACTGGGAAATAAAAGAGAGAGAACTCTATCTGCATTGCTAAAATGGAACAATACAGTGTGAATTTATGTGGCAGTTTAATCTAACAGTGGTCCGTGGCCTCCACGAGCCTTGCAGGGCATCTGTGAGATTAGTATTTCAAATAATATTACTAAATTATATCACGTTTATTCTCTCAAAAGTGTGTAGTGGGGTTTTCTGGCAGTTACAATATATGGTGTGTGCTATCACAAGACACTGAATGTCTAAACAGATGTGAGAAATCTAGCTGCCTTCTAAGCAAAATAAACGTGCGAAGTGTAAAGCAATTCACTCTTCTCACTACATTTTCATAAAAATACATTTTATATGAGACCATTATTACTGTTAAAAATTAGTATTTTAACAATTTTTCAGTTTTAGTTTATAGCACAGTAAATACCAATGGACATATCCAAATGATGTTGCTCTAAATAGTTTTATGTATTATTTACTAGTGGCTTTGGTAGAAATACTTAAGATTGGCTGTAAGGCCTATAATCTTTGCTCCTTAAATCCCCCACTGTCCTGGGCCCTTGAAGACGAGTTCCTTAGGGTCTCTTAACTTTTAACCATCTGCACAATAAGTGCAACCAAAACAGGCCATTTCTTGTTGGCAGTTAACATAAAAATAACCTGTAATTTTAATATGCTTTTGAATTTATATGCATAAATGTATGTTTTAATTTATACGCTTTTCAAACACAGAACATTTATAGTCAGAATTGCTGTCGTGTTTGGACCTACCCCGCGGGTGAAACAGGCAGGGAAAGGTGCTGGCAACGGTCTGGGTTTTCCATTAATCTGCTAAGTACTTAATCCACTCACAAATAAGGCACATCTGACTGGACAGGGAAAAGCAGGCCACCAGAAAAGAATCGTGATAGTTCAAAAAGCACTCTTCTACTCCGATATCAACATTCTTGGCTTCCTATTTTAAAGCTGTTTTCTCTGGTTTGGATGTCATGTAATTACTGTTGTTTATTCAAGAGTCCTATTTACTGCTTTAAAAAAAGTTATCTGCAGAACTATTAAAAACTATAAAATAATTTGCACAAATACGTTTGTTGATACTTGCTTTCAAACTAAGCTTGAGAAACAACAAATTGGCTATGCAGCTCAAGTAGTAGCACCTCTATCTATTGGTCCACCATCAATTTTAAAACGGAGTATTAGGGAGCAGTGGTTGGCGTAACGGCTATGTCGCTAGACTCCCAAGTGATCTACCGTGGTTTGAGTCCCGGACCTGGTGGCTTAAAGTCACGCCAGGCACGTGTGCATGCACGCCCAAGATCCCGAGAGGAGAATGGAGGAGAAGGGATTGTGGCGTGACCATCCCCCCTGGGGGGTGATTTCTCGCTTTCTGTTCATCTGTCTCTGTCTCTGTCTTTCCAGTGAGTGTACACGCCCTATAGCAAAGGCTTCTCAAAAAAAAAAAAAAAAAAAAAAAAAAAAAAAGGAGTATCACTATTGAAAGTAATCTGAAAGGATGCCTACTGAGTTATTTTACAATGGTTCCTCTGGGAAGAAAAGTCGTAATGAGGGACGGGGAGAGCCTTTTTACTCTACATTCTTTTGTATTGCTTGAGATTACATTCATTAACTACTTGTATACATTTTTAAAGTTATATTTTAAGTAGTACTAGCTTATGGATAAGAATTTTGAAATATAGAAAGGCATAAAATAAAAAAATTAGTTATTCTAACTTAAAAAAAAATTATCAGAGGCACATGCACTCACTGGAGAGAGACAGAGAAAGAAGGGAAGCGAGAAAGTACCCAAAGGATGGTCACACCACAATTCCTTCTCTTCCATCTCTCCTCCTTTCAGTATTTTGGGCATACACGTATATGCACCCAGTGTGTTTCTCAAGCCACCAGGTTCAGGACTTGAAATGCACAGTCTACCATGTGGGATCTAGCCACCTTAACCACCACACCATGAGCTGGTTTCCTCTTTAACTTTCTGATATATTTATTCTCAGTTTTATAACGGTCTATATGTTTTTCAGGCTAGGAATATGATGTATACTGTATATACCTGGAATACTGCTTTTGTTTCTACCTTGTTTCATGAATATTTTCTTATGTCACTAAATATTTTCTAAAAATGTGGTTTGAAAATGAAGCATATTACATCATATATATATTTAACCTTTTCTATTTAAGTTTACTTTTGTCAGTCTAAACAATGTGTTTAACCACCTCAAACGTTATTTCATTCATGAATTTTTTTTATGTATAGTTCTACGTTATATTTCCCTTTGTAATTTAAATACTTTTATGCTTTGAAGTCCTTTATAATTTTCAAATTAGATATTCATTTGTAGTTATAATTTCTTCCACAATTCAGTTTTCATATTTATATCTTTAATTCAATGTTCCTTTTTTCTTTAAGGTTTTTGACATAAGGCACCTGTGCTCACCAGAGAGAGACAGAGATAGATAAAGTGAGAAATGACCCCTCAGGAGTCCCCGATCTCTACTCCCTGAGATTTTGGGCATGCACGCCCATGCACCTGGTGTGACTGTCAAGCTGCTGAGACTCAAACCAAGGTCAGCCATGTGGGAGTCTACCTACCACACCACCTGCTGGCCCAATTCAATGTTTCTTAACCTTTGCAGTTATAGGTTTCACTGAGAATCTCATGAGAGTTGATAGATACTCCTGAAACTTCATTTATTTATGAACTACTACTAAGTTAAGACTCCCTGCATTAGTCCACTCAAAATTTGTTTTGGTGTATTATGAAAAGCCAACCATTCCCCCCTACAATCTCTGCAAAAGAGCACTTAGCTTAACATGATTCACAAAATAATCTTTTCTATTCCCACTGATTTGTGACATAACATTTATCATTTACTAAATTCTCATAAATTTGAGAAAACACTCTTAACCAAGATAATGGCTGTTATCAGCCTTTGCTCTGAAAGAGAAAAGCTAAAACGTTTATTACTTACAGTTTTCCTTAGAAAACATATTTAAATTTGAGACCTATTCTCTTTGCATATCTTGTAAGCAGAATTTAACTTAACCTAGATTCCAAATCTGTTAGAAAAGACACAGTAATTTAATCCCATCCCCTTTTTATTTAAAAAAACTTAAAATCTTTACAGAGAAGTTGAAAGGATAGCAAAATGAATAGCTTTAAGCCAACTCGTCACTCTGGTTCTTTTTTTTTCTTTTCTTTAAATTTATTTTTTTACATTAATTCACTATACATCATTACAGCATACAAATGAATTTTCCATCCAAAATACACTGTATATTGGCTCAATCAAGTTCACTCTCATTCTTAATTAACATTTTTCTCCCACAATTTGCTTTATCTCTTTCAATATAAATTCAAATTCTGCTGAATCATTTGAAAATAAGTTACGGACATTTTGAAATTTCACTCTATATTTCAGCAAGTATTTCTTAAAAATTTGCCTTTTAAAATATTTTGTTTAAAAAGTTTTTTTACATTATACTGGTTATTCTTATCACCCCCATTCTATTATAGTATTAACATCGTACTAAAATTGCTTTGTTGCATCTCTATCCATTCATGACTCCATCCTGTTTTGGGTCTATTTCCAAATAAACCGCAGATAACAGAATGTTTTCTAAATATCCCAACAAATAGGTGTATTATTACCTATGATTCATTATTTCTTTATATAGTTTCTTTCTTTTGATGTAAAATTTATATAGAATGACGTGTACATTTGCTGAGTTTTTATATTACATATTCATGTGATTAAAATCCTTAATTAAGACACAGAACATTACCCTAGAAAGTTCCCTTATATGAAATTATCAGATGTTTTACAAACTCATGTGTTATTTTTAAAGAATATGATTACTTCATTTGGGGGAAAAAAAGTTCAACAAGAAAAAAATCCCTGCTGGCAACACTGCCTATTATCTTCTCTAAGAACAGTTACCCGCTCACAATAGCTCTCTTTATTAGTATGCTGGAGGAGGCAGCTAAATTATATTTGAAATTGAGATGGTTATTTATGAGATTCACACTAGAGCAGGGTGCAGCAAACTACAATACGTCTGCCACCAGATTTTGTGAGTAAAATTTTAGTGGACAGCTACACATATTCATTGTCTAGGGCGGGTATGTACAATATTATGACGAAGGTCGAGTTAAGTAACTACAACAGACCAAATGGTTCACAATGTGGAAAATATTTACTTCTGGCTCTTTCAATAAGTTTGCCAACCTCTACTTGAGAAGATGATTTAATTTCTTTTAGTTTTTTTTTTTTTTAATTTCTTTTAGTTTTAAATAATAAGATAAACACTTTGTAGCAAGACTACAGCCATACAATGTAAGATCAAAGTTGTGACTAAATTACCTTCTAAGAATCAGCAGTTTTGTGTTACTAATCAGTACATGCATGTATGAAGCTGTAATGAAGACAGACCTCATAAACAAATAAAGCCCTTTAAGTTTTTTCTCTCAAGAGACAAAGAACATTACAAGGAATATGGATTTATTGAATAAAGATAATGAACATTTAAAAATATAACTAAATTTCCTATTTTAGTCAGAAGAGAGGTGAGAGGAAAAAAGGAAGGGTAGGGAAGGAGCCATAAGATACCAGGTGTAGAGGGCCAGCTGGTGGTGTGGTGGTGGAGGCAGCTGGATCCCACATGGTCAACTGTGCAGTCTGAGCCTCAGACCTGGCAGCTTGACAAATACACCAGGCGCAAGTGCACCTGTGCCCTACATCCGGAGAGGAGAATGGGGAAGAGACTGCGGTGTGGACATCCCCACTGGGGGTTGTTTTCTTACTTTCCCTCTGTATCTCCAGTGAGAGCACACACCCTACAGCAAATTAAAAAAAAAAGATACTAGGTGTAGAAATACACCGTAGTGGGGCCAGCCAATGGCTTAGTAATGGTTGCGTCACTGGACTCCCCACATGGCTGACCAAGCTGAGTCCCAGACCCAGTGGCTAAAAACTCTCATCAAGTGCGTGTGTGTGCCCTCAAGATCCCCAAAGGAGAATGGAGAAGAGACTGAGAGCATGGCAATACCCCCGGGGGATGATTTCTTGCTTTCTGTCTCTTTGTCTCTGTCCCTCTCACAAGCACACATACACCCTATAGCAAAAATCTCTTTAAAAAAAAAAAAAAAGAATACACTACAGTAATTAGGTGTAGAGAAAGAAGACAGGAACACACCAAAAGAAAAAAAATCTAAGGGAAAGTAGACTCTAGCACAGAACAGGTGCTCTATAAATATAATGACTGAATGGGTATATATTAAAGGGCCTTTGTCACTTATTCTGTAGTTAAATTCACAGGGCTTCAGGCTTTAAAACTAGTTATCACCTGTCATTACCCACCCTTTGAAATGCTAACTTGTCGACTAACCAGTCTTCAGAGATCACTGACTTTGGCAAGTAATGCAGACGAGAATCCCTTCCCCAGCTGGATAAAGTCCAGAGAGCTAGTCTGGTCTGTAAAGGTTCTCAATAGCTATTTATTTTGTTTTTCCTTCCCGAAATCTCATTCTTACAGAAGGCTACAGCAGACTGTGATCCTGCATAAGATTACTGACTAAAATAAATCTGTTTAGCACACTGTAGCATACATACAAGCTCAGGACATTGTGCTCTTTTCTCCTGGGAATAATAAACACTTATTATACAAGGACAGTTTTTACCATGGGTGAGGGGTAAAGCACACTGGGAACAGACTGTTCAGGAACTGGTAAGAACAAGCTAATGAAGAAATGGAGGTCTATGTCTACCATCATAGACATTCACTATGCTTGAAGGGAAGACACAGTATTAAGGGCAGAGGCTCACGTTTTAAAAGATACATATAATACAGCAGTGGTCCTTAAACCTTCAGGGGCTTCTGAAAGCAAAGACTGCAGATCTCCAGCCTGAACTACTCTTTTTTTGGAGAGGTTTTTTGCTATAGGGCGTGCACTCGCCAGAAAGTGAGAAATCACCCCCACAGGGGGGATGGCCATGCCACAAACCCCTCTCCTCTATTCTCCTCTTGGGATCTGGGGCACACACGTACACGCGCGCCCAGCCCGGGTTTAAGCCATCGGGTCTGGGACTTGAACTGCGGTTGACTACATGGGAGTTCAGTGACATAGCCATTATGCCAACTGCTGGTCCCCCAAACTTTTTATTATTTTTGAGAGATTTTTGCTATAAGATGTGTGCACTCACAGGACAGAGACAGACAGAAAATGAGAAATCACCCTCCAGAGGGGATGGCCACGGTTTAATCCCTTCTCGTCCATTTTCCTTTGGGGATTTTAGGCATGCTCTGGTGTGTATTTTAAGCTGCTGGGTCTTGGACTCTAATCTCTGGGACTAAGTGCAGTCGACTACATGGGAATCCAGTAACTATTATGCCATCTGCTGGTCCTACCAGCCCAAATTTCTAATTCACTGTGTTTGAGTTGGGACCAGGATTGCCAAAAAATAAAAAAAGCAAAAAACAGAGGATGCCTGGTTAAATTTGAATTTTAGATAAACAACAATACGTTTTGGTATAAGTATATCTCAATACTAGAAATATTTTATTGTTATTTGCTGAGTCTAACAATCCTAGAATTTGTATTTTTAACAGATTGTGAAGTGATGCTGATGCTATTGGTCTAGTGATGTTTTTGGGAACCTTTGAGATATAACTGATATGTCAATCAAGAAGGAAAAATCTGGGGGGTTGGGGTGGAAAGTGGGTTCTCGATTGATTTATTTTAGGTAATAATTTTAAGCAGGATTACAGTCTCCAAGTAAGGGTTCCTAGAGGAAAAGACAGAAGATAAGGCTTTCAAGAGGCCTAGAAGCTAGCCAGGAGGATACTGAGAGAAAAGCTTTCAGAAAAAGAGGTCAGTAAGAAAAAGACTGATACTTTAGGGAAACTATTGTACAACTATAACAGTTTGGTGTTGCCGGTGCATAAAGTTTCATGCAGATGGTGACAGATAAAACCAGAAGAGTTGAGGGGCCAGAGAGCACATGGGAATTTGTGAACCCTGTCAAGCACTTGGTCTTTATACTGTAGACAGTCAGTAAGTGATGGTGAGATATTTAAAGGCTTCTAAGCACAGCAGAGACTTGATCAGATCTGCATTTTTTAAAAAGATAATTTGGGGAGATGATCTCAAACATTATATTTAATGGTGAAGGAGTACTTGAAATACAGTTAAGATTTGTGGAAGCTCTTCTTATCTAATTCTGCACAAAGAAAAGGGAAGGAAATATAACAATATTCGATTAATTATGAACATTTAGTGTAAGTCTTTGGTAACTTGGCTCTCACTGATGCCAGAAGGGTAACATTTACATTGTAAAGATACCAAATAAAAACAAATGGGTACAAAATTCTATAGTTACGTTAAATATATTCTTTTGAAATTTTATTCTAAAGTTTAAATCAGATAATATGTAAAACTATTTAATTTTTAAAAAGAGGTATTGACATGACAATGTTCAAGCTAATTAAAAAACATTTTTTTCTGCAAAGAAAAATAAAAAAAGTAGCTTCTGCATTAGCTTCCTGTTTCCGTTCTGAAACATGATTATGAACCTTTGTTCTCCTCAGAAATAAAACCATTACAATGACGACTTAGTGACGATTCAGATCAGCCTAGGTGTCGGTATTCCTAATCCTATCCTGGGTTTTAGAAATCCTGGAAGCTAGTCCTATCAATATTTTTTAACCTCTGAGCAGACCTAAGGGGCTTTACTTTTCTCGACTATGCCATGAGAATAAAGGATCTGCAAGGTGGCATCTTTTCTATCCATCTCTAACAGTAATTAAGGATATCTGCACCTACATTCAGATAACATTTAAGAACATAAATGTGTTGTCCAGTGTGCATGTAAAAGCCATTAAAATGTTTTTGGCTCAATCAGGCTCATTTACCTAAGATGCTCCACGAACTGACAGATGCATCTGTCAAAGGAACAGTTCTCTTTTTTTTTGCCTGCATCTCATCAGTAGCTATATTAAGAAAAGTATTTAAAGTGCCCTGGAATGACACTTCTTTTCATCATACATTTATAGTACAAAACCAAGGATGAATTAGTTTTGTGGCCAAAGGATAAAGGAAATTTGTCCATATTTCATTTTTCCATATGTAAAATGGGGAGCTAATACAATAACAAAAATGAAAACATAAAATGAAGCAGGCAACACTTAGAAAACTGCATAAAAGAGCCGAGGGTTATCACCTAAAAGGGCAGGCTGGCTGAACAGTAGGGGTTAAGTGCATGTTCTCAGCAAAGGACTATAGCAAAACTGCAGCCCTTGCATAGTATCAGGGATGTTTATTAGCTTGCTTCTTCGAACTGAGCAGTTTAAGCCATCTGCAGGGATTAAAGCAGGACTCTACACCTACTCTATGCAATCCTACCTCCCACAGCTCAGGGTGGCACAGTGAGTACTCACAAAAGCCATTACCTGTAATCGCAGAGCTTGGGCTGACTGCCGCACTGCTGCTTGCAAACCACACAGTAACTGCACAGGGGCACGTTCCCTCGGATCCAGTGGTGGGGCATGGTGTCCTGGGCCCTGCCGTCATTCTTAAGCATGATTTCCTTGCACTGGAAGCGCTTGTCGGCCTTCTTGAGGCAGCCCTCGTCCACGCGGAGCCCGCAGCAGTCGCAGAAGGCGCCCTGCAGAATGTGCTGTGCGCACACGCAGCAGTAGGTGGGCTGGCTGAACAGGTCGGTGTCGCGCCACCCGTGCTTGCTCTTGCGGAAGATATCCCGGCGGTGCAGCTGGCGGCGCGACCGCTGGAGGCTACACCAGAAGGTGACGAACACAGGCAGAAGCACCGAGCACAGAGTCCACAGGACCAGGTGCCCATCCGCAAACAGGCCCTCTGCTGTGCGCACACGCAGCAGTAGGTGGGCTGGCTGAACAGGTCGGTGTCGCGCCACCCGTGCTTGCTCTTGCGGAAGATATCCCGGCGGTGCAGCTGGCGGCGCGACCGCTGGAGGCTACACCAGAAGGTGACGAACACAGGCAGAAGCACCGAGCACAGAGTCCACAGGACCAGGTGCCCATCCGCAAACAGGCCCTCGGAGGGCGGGCCCAGCGGCGGGCGCCCCTCTGCCTCCCTCTTCTCCCACGGCCCTGTCT